ATTGTATTGTAGGTTTGCTAGTGCTGGTGGCAGACACATTAAAGACCAGTTTATTTGTTCTACAACATTATTCAATTCTGAGTTCTGTGATTTATGCACATCTTTTTTACAGGTCTGGTTCAAACTGGCCGACTGGTGACCATTTTGTATTATAAAATGCTCTTTCAGAGTCGTACATCTATCATGCTTGGACAGATTATATTCCAACATTACACAGTTAGCAAATAACTTTGATCTACATATAATATTTCATTCAGTTTTGTTTACTATAGCACAACAGGTACTGTGTCATATCATTGAACGTTACTGTATTATAAATCACCACTATCACAATTAGAGGTTTTTATGTTTTACCTTTACATCATCATCCATTGTAAGGAAATTCATTTCAACAAAAAGCTTCGAAAACTTACTATTTTTTAAAATTATGATGGTGGTGATTTATAACAATAATCTTCTTCAACATCATAATAAATTCAGAGGAGGGTCAGGATGCGATGATGTGTTTGGCTTCACCTTGCGCATTATCTAACCATAGTCTCTTCTCCTCACCCAATATGGCACTGTTCATTATTACTTAAATATTGTTGCAGGGCAGTTAGGTCATTGAGACTCATGAAAACAGTGTCTGCTTTAATGAATGCTGCTATCATTGGTGATGCGATGCAAAAAGTCATACCATGGATGTCTATAAAGATGAGTGGATTTCGTGTCAGTAAGCCATCTTATATGATCGCACTCATTCATGAAATGGCTAGAGTGGATTGGTTAAAGGTATGCATATTCTGACATAAAATAAATATTTATTCTTTTATTTATTAAGATCAGTGGACAGAGTTGCTTAGATCTGGAAGCCATGTCGGCTTGTTCTTATTTACAAGGGGATCAATGCATGTCTTTGCCGTTTTGTTAATGAGAGGAGAACGTGTTTATGTGACCTCTCATTTGTTTGGAACTTTTAATATGATTATTACTGTTTGGAGAGGGACACAAATGATTGAGGGATTTTGTATTTCGAGATCAGTTTTGAAAACTGGCACCTGTGTCAAGAATACCTATTTACGAAGCACAGATACACCTATCTAATGCACAGTGATGAATCATTCATTTCAGAGTAGGCAAAATCTTGAAATCCTGGGGGGCAAGTCATTACCGATCATGATCATAGGTGTAGAAGACGATCCAATTGTTCAATCTGCCATTGCTCGAGAAGGAATGAGAATTGTTAAAGTAGACAAAGATGACGATGTGTTACATTTTGATCAGTATGGTAACTGTGTGAATGAAAATAAAGAAGGTGAGTATATTCAATTGTTAATAGTCAATTTCAGCATAGCTACAGTAACTGTAAAACTGTTAATTATTCACTAGGTTTCAATTTTGCTTATTTCGCTGACTGAAAAATACGCTTATTTAAAACCCACTGAATATGCCTGAAATGCTAAATCAGTGAAGATTAATCATTTTACAGTAATATATTGTGATAAATTCGCTGGTATAAGTTTTGTTCAGAATAGAATTAAAATATTTTTGATATTTACACAACTCAATGTAGTGTAAAAACATACTGGTTTGTGCAGTGCTGTTGGCAGAACTTCTGTTTTGGAATAAATGTGTTGTCAAACTTTTGAATGAACATATTAGGCTAATCTTTTGATGAATCAATGAATTTTCAAAACTCCACCTTCCTCTATATTCTGTAAGGGACTAATGATTTAAAATAATGGGGGAGGGGGG